TATCCTTTGGCCGTAACTCCTTTTGGCAAGCAATTGAATTAAGCACTAACGCTCAAAAGTGGAGCCATAGGGCTGTCAAGCAAGTACTAATTCCAACATAAGGTAAATAAGTCTTCTTCATAGCTCCAGCCTGGCAAATTCTATTGCGCAAGATAACTCGCCATGAGGATGGAGAAACTTTGAAAATTTGGAAGGACGGAACGCATCTACGGCATAACAAAGAGTCACACTGCATGACACTGTCATTTTTACAGACTTATGCGATTTCGTTGGGGAACAGCAGCAAAACTTTGAAGTGAAGTAATGCACAAAGCAACAAAACACAAACACAACAATACAATTTATTTGAGTCCTGGACTGAAAAAGAATAAAGAGGTAGAAAAATATAAACTGCTACTCTACCGATGTTGGAAAACTTTCACACATCTGAAGACATTCGTTTCGCATCAAAATTGTGTCCTTATTGTAATATCAAAGGTGGATTTTGTATCACCAAACCTCTGACTATTAGCTAAAACTTGTTGTGATGTGGGCATATTTTCGCGTGCAATTGTCAATTTTCTCTGCTTCTCACACTATCCAAAGGTGTTACGTTAAGGGAGGTGAGCACCGAAGTGTGGAGGTAGTTATTCTGCCGGTGTGTCCAGATGGGATGTACAGCTGCAGGGACGGTTCTTGTTTTGCTTCTGACCTAATCTGCAACCACATCCGTAACTGCGTGGACGGCTCAGACGAAGATAAGCTAATCTGCACCGGTGAGCCTCCTGCCCATCCGACCGATTGGGCGCTGATGCTGTTTGCTGATGGTGTTGGCACGCCCTTCATATTAGCCTTTTCAGCGTAACTATGTAACATTTATGAGCAGCCCATTTGGTTAATGGAATTGAACTTCTTGTTGTTTTAACTATTTATATTTGAATTTAAAACGTAGAAGTTGATGCAATAGAAACTTGTTGACATTCGCCTAAATAGGTTCATTCTACATCTGAAAATCTGCCTCCTTTTTTAACCATTAACTTAATGGCGTGGTCTCAATAGACTGCGGAAGTCAACAAATTGCAAGTATCCATTTCGCATAAGTAAAGGACTAGTAACTTGTATTAGCCTTAAAAATTATTAGGGTTAATAAATTACCCTGCAGACGTGATTATTCGAATTAGTTGTCAATGCACCGACGTCCAATAAAGGCTTCTGCGAAGTATGATTGTTATGAAAAGGATTGTGGAGCATAATGGCCTACGAGGAGTTTTTTGAAGTAGCTTGCAGACCATGTAATTTACGAGCGTTCTGATGATCAGCATTGCGCTCTCACTGCAACCTTATCAAAAAAAAAACAGTTGGCGTTTCTGTATAGCCCTTTGAACGGTTTAGAAATTATCAGATGATTTTATCTGAAAAACAGTTCCCTTTTGTCTTTTCTAAAGTTCTTATTTATAGCCATAGGGCTGTGAAACACTGTCAGACATTTCCTCCTTTTTGGCCGCGTTGAAGCCCGTAAATTTGTGTCGCAACTCTGGTATGGAGAGATTAGATATGTGCAAAAATAAGACAGGTGGGTATTCTATCTTTTAGAGTCTGGATCACGGAACATCACCGTTTCACCACGGCAACCGTTCGAATTCACCTGCTCAGCACCGCAGGGGTCACGTCCATTGGTGACCATAGCAACAATGCAGAATCTGACTTTGGAAAATGATTCAAGATTCATGATAACACAAGCTTCTTCAAACAAAATTCAGGTCAAAGCAGTATATGGGTTGGCGGAAGCTGACAACGGCATCACGTTTATGTAACCACCGCTTTCCACTTATTTCCCAGTCACAAAACTAGAGCTCGGCGTTAAATGTTATGCTTTATATTAATTACTTTAGATGCTTGATAAAGCCAAGGACGTGGCAATACATCGTGGTGAATATTGAGTCGCAGTGCCCGCGTAATCAGAGCCAATGTGGAGATGGCTCATGTCTACCCACTCTTTTGTTCTGCGATGGCAAAGCAGACTGTCCAGATGCGTCGGATGAATATCACGTCCTTTGCTCACGTGCGGCCATTATTATTTCTCCGTGCCTTAGTTAGAAATTTAGAACCCCGTGCTTAGCAAACGCCGCACTCTTGCAAAGTGATTCCTACTTTTAATTGCTCAAAATTGAAGCGAATTGACCGTGTAACTGCTCGATTTGAAATGGCTCTATGGGCCATTACAGCTGTCTCTCCATGGCTTCCAAAAGTTATCTCTCTCTAATTCTACGAACTCATTCTAAACTGATTTTCTTAAAGAAGGTTCCGATTTTTTATAAAAGCGTAATTTTACGAACATATTTGCACTTAAGATAATTGCTTTGCCTCCTTCTCTTTTTCGTTGTGTTTATTCGATTATTAACTACCTACTTACGTGAATTTAGCTGCAAGTGGAGGAGAACTAGTCATCACACCAATCGAGATTCATAGTAGTCCATGGGTTCCATTGACCTTTGCCTGCCATGCTCCGACCGGATCTCACCCAGATTTCATCATCAATGGGAGTGGAAAGGCCCTGAGTGAAGATGGGCGCTTCACGGTATCATGGCCGCACGAAAACGAAATTGTTGCTAGTGCCCCTTATGGTCTCCAGGGCAAAAGCATCCTAAAAGTTTGGTGCGTTTTATTACTACTTGTTAAAATTAAGTGAACACTTTGATTTATCACGTTTTCACAATTAATAGGTGCGTACTGGAGACAGGTGCACAAAAGTCCATCGACATCCTCATCGAGCAGACATGCCCCAGCCAAAGCTACCAATGCGCAGACGGAATGTGCATTCAATCCTCCTTACTATGTGACCGGAAACGAGACTGCAAAGATGGATCAGATGAGAGATTTTGCGAAAGTAAACACTCTTGACTTAAATTTTTTTTTTTGTAAATGTGAGTAGTGAGTAGATTTAAATGATTTTCAGTAACAGGTATTAAACCGGACCTAATTCTAATACCTGATTCGATCAGCGTACGTCCAAAGCAGTCCTTCACATTCACTTGTACAGCCCCAGAGGGTATCAAACCGGAGGTCTACTTTGCGAGGGATCAACGTCCAATTTCTAGTGATCGACGATTCAAAGTTGAAAGACATGACTGGAACAGCGCTACCGTCACAGCTATAAATGGCCTTTTGGAGACAAATGATGGGCTGTTATTTACGTAAGCATTTGTCTCTTTTCTCCTAGCAAAACGAGCATCATCGTGCAAAACATAATCACGCCAAACTTGGACAGAACAAAGAATTCTATTTCGCTTAACTATTAACTCAATACTATAAATGGTTCAGTCCAAATACTCAGCATCTTCAAGGTCAATGTTCCAATGTTAAATTAAAAACGCAATCAATAGAAGTTATTGCTGGAAATCATTTGAACCTTCTGATATTCCAGTTAGCTCTGGACGGAAGTACGTCTTGATGTTATACTTTGCAATCATAAAGACTGGAATTGTGGTTACTTGTTTGCCACTAATTTCATGATTAAAGGTGCAGGACGCCGGCTGGAGAGCAGCAGCATGTGGTGGTTTTGGTGGACCATCCATGCGGTCAAGGCATGTTTCAATGCAACTCGAACTTATGCATCCCTGCTGCCACGGTGTGTGACGGTCGGCGAAACTGTCCTGATGGATCAGATGAGGATCGCCGTTTCTGCCTGTGTAAGACCATTACATTCCCTTCGATGACATTGTATTTATCGCATAACCCAGTTTTATTCATCCATAAACCCTCAGCCAACACTGATCCGTCTGCCCACTTTGTTTCCCGTTGTGACCATTAGGAGCAGAGAACTAAACGGCATCTGCTTAATACCCATGCCCTGACAACGCATGCGACTAACCTATCGAAACAGCTCTGAGAAACTTCACTGCATCCTAGTTGCTATCGCACCAAATTTCAACAGCAGAGCGTATTGCTATTTTCAACGTTGGGATAATCTACTCGCTTCCAACCCAACATTTTTCGTCTTTCCATTTTATTACAATCTTAGGAATACTATTATTGTAGAATACTTCTACACGATTCAAAAGACTTTCTACCATTCAAATTGTCAATCTATTCGGTTAGCAGCGCCAATCACATATGCTTATACTTTTACCCATGCACAGTTTATGAAATTTACCAGCCTGAAACATGGCAAAACTAATTGATGTAAAGGTACTTCAACCAACTCTACAAACTTATGGTAGCATCAGTTTTAACGGTTTGAGGTATCGGTTTTTATCTACCATAAATTGGCAGTTTCTAAATATTTGGTTACCTTATGTTCAACAGCTGCTCCTCTAGAAGTGAAAATGAGTCCATCCTCAATACGGGTTACAGCGTGGAATCCCTTCAATTTCTCCTGCAAGTCGGAGAGTGGTGGCGACCCAGTAGTGATTTACACAGCTACTGGAACCTCTGTGGACAGAGATCCCCGGTTCCGAGTGCAGAGACCAGATTCACAGACTATTCTAGTCCACGCGCCCTACGGGATTCATACTTATGGCGATATCGCCAAATTTATGTAAGCTATTTTCCCACGCCTCGTCTCCTACTATTAGTGACAATGAAATGGCATTTTGGTTAGATTATTTGTGTTTTGACTCCAAAAAAGGCTTTATAATTCCACGGAAACTAAGCTGGATTAAATTTTCATTTTTGTTACTTTAGATTACCTCGTAAATTTAAGCAGTTTCTTTCCGTAGTTGTCTAACGACGGAGGGACAACGCGAAGAAGTTGCTGTTTCGATTGAGTCACATTGCGCAACTGGGCAGTCGCAGTGCAGGAGTGGTGAATGTGTCAGCTCCTCAAAATTTTGCGATGGCTATCCCCATTGTGCAGATGCCTCCGACGAATTTCCTGTGTTCTGCCAAAGTGAGATTTTCCTTTCACTTATTTTTATTTTTTAATGCAACAGGAATCAAAATTAACATGAACTAACATTTTAAAATACGCAAAGTCTAAGATAGACCATTGTTACAAAACACTACGGATGTACTGATTAGTTTATGGAATCAAAATATTCCCTTTTACATTTAAGTTGAAGCGAATTCACCTTGGTCTGGAGCAATTTAAGAATAAACATGACTTGCTCAAACACCTGTTTTAAGGCAGCTTGACCATCAGATCTGTTATTTTAGAGGCGAAGGTGAGTACGGTTATTATTCCCAGCTCGATTCGGACCCTGCCATGGCGAACCTTCCAGTTCATGTGCATCGGTCCGTCCTCCAGTCCAGCTGAACTAGTCTTCTCACACACTCGCAAACTGGTAGCCGATGATTCGTTGTATGAGGTTGTTCGGATCAACGAAAACATCATTCAAGTGAAGGCCCCTCAAGGTCTTCGCGGAAATGACGATACCACAATTGAGTGGGTTTCTGAGTGCCTTGCATATCAGTGCCATTATGGAAACCCATAATTACCCGTATAACACGCTTGACTGACCTCAATGTCATAAGCATAATCTTATCAACAAGTCGTTTTTATTTGGCCTTCTACTGCTGATTGCCGATTAAGCTTTTGAAGTTGGAAAATCGTATCAGCAAATATATAAGAATAATACTAGCGGCTTAAAATTTTTACTTTGTCATTATGCTTCACTTAGCGCCAACTTGCACATGTGGTGAATTCTATGCTCTTACACCACTTTATCATCAATCGCAGCATCTGCGTGTTTTCGTTCCCAGGTGCTTCCTCACCACCGGAGAAAAGAACCATATTAAAATAACCATCGAAGATCCTTGCCCATACGGTCAGATGCAATGTAGGAACGGTCCTTGCATCAACACAGTGGCCTTTTGCGACGATCACTGGGACTGCTCTGACGGTTCTGATGAAGACTCTGGCTTCTGTACAGGTAGGAGCAACCCTCCTAACTGAAAGTTTTTGCTGGTAGCTACAGCGGTCCCCTTCAAATGTTTAAAATAGCGGTTCTTTGTATTGTTGCATATGCACATAGTTCATGCGAAAACTGCACCATTAACATTCTGACCAATTGGTTCTCACCTATAACCACTTTATCAAGGCTCTATTTGGTTGTAATCCGCCTAAATAAGGTATCCTTCCTCTTGTCCAGCCGCTAAATTGGCTCAAGAAATCTCAATCTATCCAAAGTCCATCGTTACTTCACCGTGGAATCACTTCACTTTTGTTTGCATAACCTCATCAAACAGCCACGCCACAATTGTGTTCCAAAATGATGGTCGTCTGGTTGAGGGAGATACGCGCTTTAATGTGTTCAGAAGGGACGCCAGTGCAATCGAAGTAAGCGCCCCGTTTGGCCTGCGCAAGGTAGACAGCACCACACTTGAGTGAGTCAATGCTCTGAGCTTTCTGCGCCATCATTCAACATGCTTTGTAACTCTCCTTACGCATGACAATGTAATCTAACTTTTCGGAAATTCCATTTCCAATAAAATATCAAAATTCAACTCACTCAGCCCTGAGAATTGGGCTTGAAGTCAACTGCCATCGCTAGAATTTCATTGCGAGATGACCCAAAACAACTTACTCACAAGAATCCCGTTTTCTAGAAAAGTATTTAAATTTTGCTGCATCAAAAGTGGTTTTGACGTTTTACAGGCCTAATGCTCTACATGTTATTCGACACTATGCTTTCATATCCGGGTTTTTTAGTTGGCAACCGAGAGGTGATAGGCTTTGAATGTTTGTAAGGCCTAATCGCATGGTCGCACGAGCTCTACTTTTAAAAGCATTCATCGTGAGAGACGACCATTCCAATTTTAAGGTAAGTTAAAGCATAAAGGCTGCTGTTACAAGTCGTTTCAATATTTCTCTGCTTTACAAAGTAGCAAACGATGCCACTCATAAAGGTGAATGAATGAATTTGAATACTGTCCTCGAAACCTCTGTAAACTTTATGTAAAGGCAATCACGACCTAATGACTTCATAGGGAGAAAAGTAGAAGTGTTATGGTGCACTTCATCTGCTTCCTTGGGTCGTTCTTTTAGTCGGTGACAGCTATATTTGGCGCACGTTTAATGCTTCGCTGTCGTCGAATCCTTATTCTGGAGACCCGAGGGCAAATAACTGAACCTGTGCAAATACATCCCCTTACAAGGGAAATCACCTTTTATAATAATTTGTATCTTTTAAAGAGGAATCATATGAGTGGTTTCTATCGTATAAATTCTCAGAGAGTACGGATTGACTGAATAAAGCATGTCAAGTGGTAGTGACAACAGAATTGTTGAAAAATGATTACAATGACAAAGTAATATTATCTAAAATATGTATGAGGTGCGTGATTCGCTGAGCAAGTGAGGTGATTTTGAACCAATGAGATCGTGTCAATTAACCTATTGACCCTGTAGATGCGTGACACAGAAGGGTGAGAGACAGGCTATCTCCATTGTCGTCCAGGACCCCTGTCCTTCTGGGCAAATGTTATGTCGCGACGGTGGATGTATAGGCCAGCACCAATTCTGCGACGGTCGCGTCAACTGTCTTGATGCCAGCGACGAGCAAGAGGACTTCTGTTGGAGTGAGCATTTAACTGTGCAATTCTTAGAAGGCCAAAATCGTCAAAGGAATTAGGCACTAACATTCCCTGCAGTCTTGAAGGACTCAGTTAGGGTTTTGATGCATCTGCTTCGTAAATCTCCATCCTGTAGTCGTTGCATAACAGAGTATATTTATCTTAATGCCATGTCCCAGACACATTTAAAGTCACTGCTTTGTTGTTATTTTAGTTTACTAGGTGTTTGCGTAACTAACACTTTGAAAGAATTAATGAAGACATGATTGTTGCGTCAGCTGTAACCACTTTAAGTAACGTTTAAAGTAACTTTCATAAAGCTCTCTATGTCTGCAGTTTGTGCTCTGCGAAACTCTCAGGGTTCCAAACAGAATACTCGGTTTGTACACCACAAAAGCGACCGATTTAAAGTTCCTCGACACTGTTTCGATCAGATTTATAACCAGGAGGTCTCAAAGAGAGCAAGTAGTATCCCTTATTTTAAAATGCACAGGCGTAAGAACAAAACGCCAGTACAATTAATTACAAACAGTTCCTTTGCGCAGTATTACTGGATAACCTTGTTGAGGACCTGGCCTTGTTAGCTGGATGAATCACCTCACTTGTTAAGAAAGTAAATGGTAGGCCTTTGAATGAATTTTTCAGCATTAAGTAGTACCTTCTGAAAGTAATTTAATCTTTTAAGAAATAAATTCTCTTACAGTCAAATTTAAAGTAAACTCAATTTAACTGAAAGTTTATTTTAAAGTTGCGCACTCAGTTAATAAAGCAAACTCCTGACAAGATGTGGTCTTACATGGCGTGTCTACCTTTGCTTTGCAGTACCTGAACAGGGCATTGATGTAACTCCTCGCATCATAGAAGTTTCGGAATGGACTCCATTTAGTTTCGCGTGTCGTGGCCCACCAAATAGCCAGGTAATGGCAATTTTTAGCACAAGTGGTCTATCAGTGGAGAAAGACCCGCGATTCGAAGTTATTGGATCTAACACTTCCAACATCCATGTCACCGCCCCCCTGGGTCTGCGCTCAGTCGACGGTACAGAGGTGGAGTAAGTCTTCGCGTTGGTTACCCCTTCAAGGCATATTTTTAATGATATCTGCTGCGTTGTCAATGGAAGGGCGTGCAAGATGTGTGCTCAATGCAGCCAGTTTGGGCTGCCGATCTTACAATTCAAAGTTGTTTCAACCAAAATGATGACAAGTACTTGACTAACAATGAAGGAGTAACACATGACCACAGATACCGACTTTAAATATTCAGTATGTAAAGTAGAGGTTCTAAACCAAATTAGCAGCTGGTCATCACTAAGTGTGAATCTTGCACTTTAGATGCATGACCAAGAGTGGGCAAAAAAAAGTTCTTAAAATATCCATTGATGGTGACTGCCCGTATGGCGAAACAGGTTGCCAGGATGGAACGTGCATATCAACCTTGAACTTTTGTGACGGTCTACCTCATTGTCCTGATGGATCCGACGAGCTATCAAAATTTTGCGGGGAACGTGAGTTTAGACCTATTTAAGACTTTATCAGTCTTTTTGCTTTAATTATTCCTTCAATCATGCACAGGATTTGTTGCTTTTTCGATAGGCGTACCTCACGTTTCCCTTTGAAAGTCACTCATGCTTTCAAAGGTATTTCCCGGCTATAATAAGGGAAGAAGCCACACAAGTAGAAATTGGTGATCAGAAGTAAACTTGGGCAAAAATTTCACTTTTCCCCTTTTTAACTTTATCAAAGAGTCCTTTATCTTAAGCAAAAATTCAACCCATCGTACCAAAATCTTACGGGAACTTGAAGCATCCTTTATTTTGGGAAAGTACTAGAAAATTTGTCAAATATGGACTTCGAAGTGACTTTTGTGCTTGCCATGAATGCATCTTTCATAAATCGTTCCTACATTCAGCATCGACCACCTACCCAAGCGACAACAGTTATTGTTGATTTGGAGATACGTAAGCAATTACCATAGCGTCAGCTGAAAGGTATGTTTTCGTCCCTAGTTAAGACGCATCAACAAGTCGTAAGGGTTTATCCAGAAACAATAGTTGTAGACGAATGGACTCCGTTCAGTTTCGTGTGTACGAGTACACCGGGTTCGACGCTGACGCCCATCATAAAAGCTGACGGTTCTCCGGTCAGTGCTGATTCGCGTTTCAGCGTCACCACCCATAACGAAACAGTAATTGAAATTGCGGCACCGAAGGGCCTTCGCAACACTGATGACATAAAAATAGAGTAAGCATTCTCGCTATCTGCGGATACTATCTGCATTCCTGTTCAGAACGTCTGCGTCACTATAGTCGAAACCATTTATGTAGGCTATAACACATTTGCAGTTTATTTTAGCCTACTTTGTTTGACTTTGTCTTTTCTTAGATGCGCCAATTCCGCCGGTGAAGGTAAAACCATAACCATCACAGTGGTGGATGTATGCCAGCCCAATGATTTTCAGTGTAAAGATGGCTCCTGTACTTTGCGCTCCAATGTATGTGGAGGAACACGCCATTGTACTGACGGCTCTGATGAAGGACCAACTCTTTGTGGAGGTGCGTTCTGTTATTACCATATGAGAATATATTATGGCATCGAATGAGTAAATTTTTGACCACCTTTAAGGGGATTCTGGCAGCATGAGAGCACGTGTGGTGAAGATGTCAACGAAGCATCTCGTATTCTCACAAGTCAAAAAGACTGCTGTACCAAGAGACTTACGTGCTAATTTTTTTTAGCATTAGCCACATGACTTACCAATTCCAATTATCTTTCTACTTAGTCGGTATGTGGACCTCTATTTGAAGAAGCGTTGATATAAATTAATAAATAAGAAGAAATGTATGAATGAAATCGTATGTAAGCACATCGACTTCTTCGACTTAACCCACTTATTAGTGTGGAAGGCACTGAAGTTCTTTTTAGCGCTAACCATCATAAGGCTTCCAACTTTTATGGTTGCAAATTGAGGCAATGCAGAAGCCACACCATCCATCACTGTCTCGCCGGGGTCCATTCGGGTTTATGAATGGATTCCGTTTCGCTTCGTGTGCAACAGCGCCACTGGTCGCATTACAGCTAACGTCAAGGCAACTGGCGACCTCGTTGAATATGATCACAGATTTCACGTCGCCCATATAAACTCCACTGCCACTGAAGTTTCTGCTCCATTTGGCTTGAGGAATATCGATGACATGGAAATTGAGTAAGGACTTAAAACTCTTTCATAAATTTTGGAATATTAACCTACCTAATTGCAAGTGAAACACTAGTGATGAGCTGGTTTAGTCATAGAAAACTCAAAGACTCAATTTGATTTGCAGATGTGTTTCAACGAGTGGTGACAAAATGTCTATAGATATAATAATCGACACTCACTGCCCCGAAGGGCAGTCCCAATGCAAAGACGGCGAATGCATCCCCACTCCTCAAGTCTGCGACTTCATTACGCACTGCAAGGATCATACGGACGAAGTTCCTGACTTTTGTCTCGGTGCGGCACTTGAGCACTTATTATCCATTGACTCTGCTTTTAGGGAAGGCTTTGTACGATTAAGATAGCGATTAATTTCAATAATTCCTGAAAATGGGGTAAAGGGCCAAAGTACTTGCTGTCGCCCTTTTCTTGCGTTAAAGCTGATTTTAGTCAACTCTATTTGAGCAGAAAGGTTTCACCTACTGTTTGTCTCTTACCCGTTCGAGAAGGTCTGATTTTGATTTAAAGGAAAAGCTTACATCATCTGTACTCACGTAACTGGCCGAATCGGGCGACAAAGGAAAATTAATTCTCTCTGTGATTGAGGGAGGGCGTGGGTAAAGTGTGGGATTGAGTCTCGCACACTGCACATAAATTTCTGCATCCAAGTCACTGTCACTCACATTTCGAATTATCGCAGTGTTATTGTCCCACTTATATTCAATTTGCTAGCTTTAAATACGCAAATATTGATATTTCGATCCACTTACTAGTAGCGTGCCTTCAGTTTATAATCATGCATACAGTATGATGAGGGCGATTTCATTTCGGTTAGCATGGATAAAGTCCTTTGACTTCTTTAAATGTTTGTGCTTTGCTGAGCCGTTTCTTTGAAAATAAGCCTACGGCATCTGTGAAACAGTCACCGCTTTGATAAGACCACGTCATTTCGAAACTAGTTATTCCCTTCTACAAATATAGCACACTCGAAGCCTTTGATGATAATCGACCCCCCGGTGATCAGCATACCAGCTTGGCAGATGTTTGAGTTCGCGTGCAGCAGCGTCGATGGCGATGATGTTGAGGCCTATTTTTCGCCTGACGGTGGTCGAGTGGACGAAGATGCCCGATTCCGCATCACCAGGCATAACACTACAACGATAGTCATTTCTGCTCCCGAGGGTCTTCGTGACATCGACGACATGCGTATCGAGTAGACTATTTATTTCAAATTGCTATTCTTTGCCTCATTTAACTCATTAGAGCATAAATGCTCACCTTTTGTGCATTGTTTGTAGATGTATCTCGGCTAGCGGCAGGAGAGGTGTTCTGATAACAATACGTGATGTCTGTGGTCAAGGATACTCAAAGTGCAGAGATGGGTCTTGCGTATCTCGCTCGCAGCTTTGCGACGGAACCGTTCACTGTCTTGATGGGTCAGACGAAAGTCCAAAGTTTTGCATAGGTCTGCAATCCCATTCGATAATCGTTTCTCGGTTAATTGATGATCTAAAGTACATATGTCTTACGATGGAATTGTTTAATATTGAGACTGGAGAAATTACAGATTTTACGCTTATCGCACTTTACAATGTGTTTCCATTCAACTTCAGAGCCAACCAGGCATCCTATTTTAATCGACCCGCCACATATCTACAAACCAGCATGGATCACTTTCGAAATTGTATGTAGTAGTTCGACAGAAGGCCCTGTTAAAGCCATCTTCGCTCATGACGGCTCCCGAGTTGAACTAGATCCCCGATTCAATGTCACATCATACAATGCTAGTACCGTCATCATCAATGCTCCAAATGGTTTGCGAGACAATGACGACTTGACAATCCAGTGAGTGGGTTGAACATTTGTAGCTCTAAGATGAACGTGTTTGGAGTTTGTGAAAGTGATATATGAAGTCAGTTTTGTTTGCTAATGTAAATTTAAAGTTAAAATAAGCAAAAAAGAACCATCACTGCAGAGTTGTTACCTTCAAATAACGTCGAAAACTGGGTTACTCATTAAGTGCTCGTGATTAAGGATGCAATGTGATGATGCACAAAACCAAAACGGAATGAGCTCCAAAAAGCAACAGTAGTGAAATTAAATCGTAACGTAAAGGATAGCAACTGCGACGAAAGATCATAAAAATTTATTCTATTGTATTTTCATGGCAAGTTAACTATGGCGACTGCTTATTTCCATTTTAGGTGCGTTTCTACCAGAGGACAAATGAAGAATGTTACGATAACCATAGCAAGTGGCTGTGGAGAAGGGTACACACAATGTCGAGATGGAACTTGTATACAGCAAACGAACTTGTGCGATGGCGTCACCCATTGCTCCGATCATTCCGATGAGGACAAAGTGTTTTGTAAAAGTAGGCATATTAGCTACAAACGTTAGAAAATAAGTGAACAACCAAGAATAAAATACCGTCGAGTAAATGCGAAGTGCGTAATTGTTGGGCCGATGCAAGAAAATTTTCTTTCACTTACTCAAATCGTTCATATTTTCCCTGAAGAGAAACGAAATAATAATAGAGTAAAAATGGACTGAGAAATTAGTGGACATTTACTTTAAATACTTCATTTCTTACTCAACCTAGTGCCCATATCTTCAATTATCGTAACGCCACCATTTGTGGAGGTTCCAGCATGGAAGCCATTCCAGTTCACTTGTACCACCACTGAAGGGAGTCAAGTAGATGCAATCTTCAAAGCTGACGGCTCATCAGTTCACTCCGATCCGAGGTTCATAGTCACCCGCTACAATGACTCTGCCCTGCATATCAGTGCTCCAGAGGGTCTGGATGACAAGGAGGCCGTAGAAATCGAGTAAGACTTCACCTCTACTTACCTAAGTACTTTCAGGATCCCTCACCCTTTATCTTTACCTCATGTGTGGGGATTTCAAAGCTTAGTCAGGTGGATAGTGGTGTGAAAGCATCAACGACAGCAATATCAAGGGAATGTGTGCTGATCAGTAACTCAAAAAAGAATGCAATGATGGTTCTGTTGGACACGCAATAATGAGGTTATCGATGAACTAAAAGTTGGGACAAAATTAAAAGGAAGAACAAGATTTGAACTATATAAATTTCGACAAACGTCGCAATTTACGATTTATATCCGTTTTCCTCTCCATGCCTATTTCTTCATTGTCACCACCACCAGAACACGCACCTTCAAAGTCAATAACGCCAGTCTTATCATCTTATACTCAATGCTAAACCATCACCACTGTCAACATTAACCAATAGCAGAAGCTAAAGTTGAGTTGACAGGAATATTTTGAAACATCACTTTGCTGTCTCACTTTGGCATATTTCACCTCGTACTACATTTCAACACAGATTGATTCCCGCCAGCCACGCATTGGATGCAACAATGTTCTTCAGGTCGTTGCGAGCGATATAGAAAACCATGTGATTGAATATTGTGACATTTCCTTTTTAGAAGTAATCTTACAGTGTTACTGCTTGCAACCTCATAGATGTGTTACCCCAACGGGTCAGAGAACCGACATCACTATCACTGTTTCCGAGGGCTGCGGACGCAACTACACTAGGTGCAAAGATGGTGCGTGTATTCCCGCGTCCCAGTTGTGCGAAGGGACCGCCCAATGCCGTGACGGATCGGACGAAAATCCGCTAATCTGCAAAGGTTTTTACTCATCCATTTCTGTGTGTTTTGTAAAACTGGCTTTAATAATTATAATTGCCTAGAGTTATTCCCGAAGTTGGAAATTATCCCCTCCCACGTCACTTCCTCGCCTTGGAGACCTTTCAAGTTCAAATGCATTGCAAGCACTGCTGAAACACCTTCGGTTGTTCTTTTGAGGGACCGGAAGTCCGTTGAACTGAACCCACGCTTTTCCATCAAAAAATCCAAAGGAAACTCAATTGAAGTTTTTGCTCCTCAAGGTCTTGCGCAGTTTAGACCTAATGAGGTGTTAGTGTAGGTTTCAACCTGCTTTGACTATTTTCTCCTCTTTTTGAAACGCAAAACGAATATTGATGTGCACATTATTTCCATTATATCGATGTGTACGAGAAACAATTAGTTAAACTCACGTCTTGACAGCTGCGTTCTCAGCACGGGTCAACGGGAGGAAATTTCTATTACCATTACAAATCATTGCCGGACTGGACAACTTCCTTGCAAGGATGGCACCTGTTTGCCTTCAGACAACATCTGCAATGGTCGTAGCGATTGTTCAGATGGCTCTGATGAATCTCGCATCGCCTGTCCAGGTTAAGACTTCTAATATATGCTCAACTTTTACTTGAAGTCAACATCCTATTTAAAACTGTACATGTCACTATTAAAGATTTTGGTAAATGCATTCAACGTTCGCAGTAGCCTACCTTTCAGTTTCTATATATTTTTCTTCCAAAAGATGTTGCATTACACAAAGATGCTTCTTTTGAACAAAAGGTGTTGTTGGAACTACTAAACCGTGAACGTTCATGGTTGTTCCGAACTCTAGACTTTACATCTGAAGTACGAGCTGCCCCAGAAAAGATTACTACTCCCCCATGGCGTGAGTTCGTCTTCCACTGTACCGACATTATGGGACGCAGTTCACCTTTGGCCGTCATCGTCGAAAGCCAAAAATACGCCAGCTCAGATCCCCGGTTTCGTGTGATACAGACCAACATCAGCACTATTGAAGTCACTGCAACACATGGACTGCGCGGCTCTGAGGAAAGTTTAAACATTGAGTAAGTGCCTCACTACTGCTGAGTCGTTTGCATTAGCATCACAAATGCTCGAAAATTACTTTCTTTCGAATGTGTTCGATGCATCAAATCCCGTGACTTTAATACACGCTGTAGCGTAAGCGCACCGCCAATGTTTCATCAAATAGCATATGTGAATCAACTCTTAGTGGCACCTTAGACTACTTGAACCATCTTCATTCTTTTTAAAAATATTTTTTGTCGAGGCTTAGTAATAAGGGTCAAGCACCGCCAGCCATTGTGCTGAGACCCTTATTGTCACAGTCAATGGATCATTGTTTGCTTTCAACTGCACCAGCTGACGAGCAGTCTTGATTTTACATACCTGTTAGTCAAAAAGTAGTTTAGGATTAGTCACAATCATGGTTGCCAGAATTCTAGCTGTGGCAAATAGCTCGTCCTTGATTGTCACAAGAAGTCACAAGGTTATCAACTGCATTTCAGCTGTACCTCCAAGAGTGGAGACAGTACTACTGTGGTAATCAAAGTGGAGGATCTATGTGGCCCCGGGCAGCTGCAATGCCGGGATGGACGATGTCTGCCAGCCAGTATGTTCTGTGACCAGCGTTCCGACTGTCTCGATGGTTCCGACGAAGAGATGCCTCACTGCCGACGTAAGTTGCACATGCTCACACAGAAAGCCACATGCATTGGAAGTGACTCCAATGACCTAGGAAGCAGTTCGTTGTTTTACGTCCAAGGAGGAGTCTGACAGTTACTCCCAGCTATGACCGCCATCTGCTGTGGGTACCATTCTCGTTCGTGTGTGTCTCCTCCGTAGGGGAAAAGCCTGACATCCTTTTTGCTGAGGGCAGGAGACCTATGGACCGCTACTTCCGTTCCGTTATTCGTCGAATTAATGGCAGTTCGGTCGAAGTCACAACGGCACGCGGTCGGAAGACAATCTTATTTGAGTGGGCTTTGCTTCTTATCTCAAGGTCGATGGTCCCAATAAAAACCACGAAAAATAATGTGGGACCTTTTGGGTGTGTTACGGATGAAGGATTGCGTGAAAATGTGACAATTTTAATCAATGATAAGTGCGAACCTGGCTCATTGCAGTGCCTCAACGGTAGATGCCTTCCATTCACTGAATTCTGCGATGGAAAATCCGGTTATCCTGATGAATCGAACGAACTTAGGGAGTTTTGCGGTGGTAGGTTCATCAAATATGCAATCACAACTGAGCACTTCTAACATCAGAAGTTATGCTAAACCCGAAGTAGTCTATCAATGCATTATGCAAATTACTGGTCTGCAAATAGAGTACAAGCACCATTCAACGAAATGAGAACGCCAAAGGCAATCAACTCATCCTGATGGATGAGAGATTACTTTCGTTTTTTAGAAGGTGCAGGATGTGAAAGAATGCTTGTCTTGTGGATGCAAAAACCTGAGGAGTAGACAGCTTGGGTAACGACCAGCGCTGTAAAGAACGAAACGACTGAGACCAAAAGGACTTGGCTAGTAACACCTACTGGACCAACCATCATTCCGGTACACAGATGAAGTCCTTTCATGAGCATTATCTCTACCACACTTCGAGTTCATGCCTCTCTGTTGGCAGTCAAAAGAATTCAGTCAGTTGGTACTATGTTTGAAGCTTGAGCAGTGCTCACAATGTCACTCTTACAGAAGACATCTCCACCTGAAATTCGAAGAATCAATTCACCATGTGTTCCCTGCAGGGCACACAACAGAGGTTCATTGAACATCTTCGAAGGCCAGACAGCGGGAAACATTCCGTAAAACAGCTTATGAAGCTGGTTAGTGAGAAACAAGACACCTCCAAGCCGCGTCCCGTTCCACTTTTCAAACTGTTCAGTCTCTTATTCCCATTCTCCTCGGCCTCTTGGAATATGCGACCATATCCACAGTCTACCATCTCCCCAACGGCAATGAGAATTGCACTCCGGCAAATAATTACATCGTAGAAATTAAGCGCTACCAATAACTAAGCACAGCTCGAGATCAGGCTGTTTGTAAGCAGCGAATGAGTCGAAATACCAGTTCATTCGGCCGTTCTCAACGAGTGCCTCCTCTTCGGGGTACCAGAGGCCAATATCTAGCATAACAGTCCGTACGTTGGTGCGAATCCACCCATGCTACCGACCATTCAGGGGTTGGCTTTCCTTTAAAAAGGTATTACAGGTGCGCAAATGGGACCGTCACAAGTTGAGCAAGTATCCGGTGGTGTAAACCTTGATGTCGACCTCCCGCACTTTTAAACCGTACTCACCTTCCCAAACGCAGACATTAGAAGGTAATATCAAATCGCAACGACTATTTAGCTGGGGATGTGGGAAATGACAAAATCGTTAACGCTCTGTAGATCTCTCTCCCTAAATTGATGGTTAGGTTCTGTACAAACATCATGACTATCTTAAAGTAGAGCCATAGACTTGCGCAAACGCTTTCCAAACCGATGGTACGACCACAACTTATCACAACGCTTCATCTTCGTTAACTTCCAAAGCGCCAACGCACTTTTGTGTGCGAATACGACTGTTCGAGGTAAAGTGATATCGACAGCACTGCTCGTTCCAACTTTCGTAAATTGACTGGACGGCTTCCGGCACCCGATAGAAGTGCACATCATCGTGGCTGCAGGCAAAATCTGCTAGACTATTTAAGTGCCATGAAATAATATCTAATTTCTCGCCACTCGTCAGGGCTGAAGTGGTGCGCGAAAAGTTTGGGTCTTCTAGAGGAGCAAATTGAACGGGCGGATGGTAATTCTTTGATATCAATAAGTCCAAAACACTTTCTTAACGATTTTGGCGAAGTCTCCACATACTCCGCTCCAATTGCGTGACAGTGCTGCATGTCAAAGCGGAAAATTCGGAGTATAATGTTTTCCGCGCGCAAGACAATGGTAGAGTTGCAGCCTATTTTAGGAGTCCTTTATAAAAAAGTTGAAGTATGCTAAAGATAGGATAAAAATCTGTTTTTGCTAATTTCGTGCTGTCAACTCTCCCCGTAGTGGCAGCAAGTGTAGTTTAAACGCCGATAAACCAGGGCATCGTATTCTTTTCGATTGTTCCAGAACGTGTCACCTTTCCACTTATTGTAATGTGTTCCTGAAATACGTTCAAACTTCTTCAGTGTCTCCTCAAACTCAGTGAAAACAGGAAACCGCATTTGAGGAAAGACTGCTATAAAGAATTCTGTTTTGTCGTTGTGACTGTCGCAGGTAGAGGACAGCGGAATAGGAAAGTCCTTATCCACGAGTTCTCCATTCACAACTCTTGGATTTAGATTTTTCTCTTGAAATAAGTGACTGTGAACCATGTTTCGGTCAACGACCGTCAAAACGCCACCAGCGCCACCGACCTTTATATGAGCACTGCAATCAGTCCCATGTCTTCTATTCGCATATTGCAAAGAAATACTTGCGATTTCCTCTCCTACTATATGATGAACAAAAGTAAACGACGCTTCGGTGACCAGTGTGGACCTTAGAGGATGACCCTCATTGAAACGATTGCTATTCCCTTTTATGAAAACATATCCGGACTCCCTTATGTAGTAAATAATAAGGAAAGGACGTGGTAAAGATTGCTGGAAGGCATCAAATTTGGGATACCTGCAGGTGACCAGATCGCTAAATAACCAACTCGCATCCATCGCGCGCGGATTGGCAGACAAATATCTCGCAAATTGGATGATCGGTGAATAGATATGCAAGTGACAGCTCCTTTCATTGTGCCGATTGGTCAGCGCACACAGGGGCAGCCAATAGACGAGTAGCAGTCGGTGGCACGTGCCTAGTTGTGTGCGTAAGCCATTCAACTAGGGCTAAGCCGTCCGCAGTCAGGTGATTTAGAAGGAGGTTTTGCTAGCATATTTGGGTCACTTACGCTTCCGGCGCTCTGACCTAATAGCACCTTCAGCACAGGCAGCATGTTTATAATTGCATTAGCTTTAAAACAAATTGATGTTATCAAGGCGGCTTTCATCAACTTTTGTGTTCTGTTACTGAAATTCCAGTCCAAATCAGCTTCTTTAGCTGATAGTAAAGTTTGATGTTGGTATCTTTCCGAATTTTCCTTAAAGATGTCACACGCAATACAGATTTTGTGGAGTAAGACCTATTTGGGTTCGTGATGACGTTGGTCAATGCTTATTATTCCATAGTCGAAGGACCTAGCTTGGCCCTCATACCTCCACGTGTTGTGGTGCAACCTTGGCAACAGTTCCGAACAGCATGCATATCGTCAAGTGGACAACAACCCACTTTCGTCTTCTCCAAAGATCAGTCACCAGTGGGACAGGATCAACGCTACTTGATTCATCATATCAATGCAACATCAGTCGAGCTTATCCTTCCACTTGGCCTGCGTGGGCAGGAAGATGTAGATGAAATAAGGTAAGCATTAATTTTACAGAATGTTCAAACGGCCTCAGTGGAACATTTGCTTCTCTGCATGATTTTTTCTCTATTTAGGTGCATCACCTCAGAAGGTGATTCAGTCGTTTTCGACGTCGTGCTCGAGGGCCCTTGTAAAGCAGGGAAGATGGCATGCCAGGATGGGACCTGTTTATCAGTTTCGCGATTTTGTGATGGTCAATATGACTGTCATGATAAGTCTGATGAAAGGCGTGACGTCTGTCTAGGTACGCTATTTTCTAATATCACCGACCATATGCTCATGCCTTATCTAACAATTTTCCGTTCTGTCTGTCTCAGCTCGACAATCGCGTGTGATTGCAAATCCTGAATCCATCACCACAGATCCTTGGCAATTGATTCGGTTCTCTTGTATATCTCCCGATGGATATCCCCTCACAGTCAGGCTATCGGCTACTGGACAATTAGTAAAGGACAACCCACGCTTTCGTGTGCATCAAGTGAATGCTACGACTGTGGAGATTGTTGCTCCTAGAGGTCTACGCGGTCCAAGGGATAGCACACAAATTTGGTAAGTCATTCCGTTTACCATCCTGTTTTCTTTCATTCGTCCTTCCGTTAATTTTCGATTTCTCCTTTTCTTAGCTGTGCATTGGAAGACGGTGAGACTAAATGTGTGACGATCGCGGTACGAGATAAGTGTGGTCCGAATCGACTTCCATGCGAAGGTGGAATGTGCATTCCAGTAGACCTCTTCTGTGACGGTAGGCGTGATTGCCTTGAGGGATCGGATGAACTCGCTGAATTCTGTGCAGGTAGGTCCTACATAATTGCACACTTCTTATGCTTTTTTACTATTGTTTAATCCTCCGTAAAATAAGGGAAAGGAGTTCCATCAACAACCAAAGGAAATGCGTTTAAGCACCAAAGCTGTACTTAGGGGCAAAGTAGTGTGTAAACAAAAGCAAATATAACTATAAAGATAGGATTGAGCAACGTTTCTCTGAGAGCAACTTATTTCCAAAGTCGGATCCTAAATATGTCTAGCTTTTGATCTTTCATTCAGTGCTGTCTATGCAAATATAGTCGATAGTGGAAATCTGCTAGAACAGATGTCAAGATTGCAGTTAAATTGGATTTCCGTCTTGCTCTAGAGTAAGTAATTGACTTGTCTGGTTTTCTTCTCACAGAGCCATCATGGTCACCTTCACCACGGTCGACCAGTGTGCGTTTTAGCCCAAGGAAACAGCGCGTACGCCCTGGTCAGGAGATTCGTCTTGAATGCACCGCCCTATTGGGCGATGTACGTCACCATCCAATCGTCGAATTTGCCAACGGAACCTCCGTCACCATGGATCCCCGATTCTACGTGGAATATCCACGACCCGGGCGCTCCGTTGTCACCATTCCCAGGGGAACGGAAGTCTCTCAGAGACACATGGAGTTTCAGTACGTGCATGTTTGCGTTTTAATCTTGATGTAACAAATTTGGTTAAAGCCACCAGTCTAGCAGCAGTAAAAACGACGTTCTCTCACGACCTTCAGATGCTATCTGCCCCAGGGTGATAAGTCTCGTGCTGAAGTTTTTGTCGACCAGGTGTGTTCGGTAGGGCAAAGACGCTGTGATGACGGTCTTTGTATCTACCTGAGTCAGTTCTGTGACGGCAAAAAGGATTGTGTCGATGGATCAGATGAACTACCACACAACTGCGGTAATTGTTATATGCCATTGCAATCTTGCGGGATTATTAACAACTGTCATTTTCATTTGACAAATTTGGAAGTACAGTGATTGAAACATCTTCCTTGCTAAAAGAAAAGTTCAAGGTTTGTTTTGTAAGCAACATTTCTTACGATTACAAAACCACAGTCTCCAAATGATTATGTTCGGTTGTCAAATTACTGAATGCAATATATCGAGCTCCGAGTTCGTTTACAATAAAGTAATCAGTGGGGGTGCACTCACAAGCTAGTTCAATTATTGTTGTCTACTTATCAATTACTGGAAAACTGACCTAGGCATTCCGTTTTTCAGCAAAATCCTAAGCAGACTTCCAGTTCCCAACGGAAAATAGAGTCTCATCGTGAAATGTGATTGTGTATTCTTGTGTAATTTAGTCGGAAGCAAATGTTAAAGGTGGGATAATGTTTTCGTTGATGTGGTATTCCTATCATGCAAGTGGTGCCAGCCTATAGGAAGTGGACAAATAGTACCGCCGATTCTCATTCGGTGGCTCACGCTTTCATTTTTGTCCACGATTAATTCTTCGTTCTCTATCATGGTAACTTAGGTCACTCAGCGCTCATAGCGGATATTTTCGCCGTTTTAGACGCGTGCGACCCGATCTCCCGCCTATGTGGATTGGTGAATGGGAAGTCGCCAAAGATTCCATATTTTCAGGAGCATTGGCGTTGTGATGGTGAAGATGATTGTGGCAACGGTTTTGACGAACTCAACTGTGAAAACTGTAGGATCTGGAAGATCAATCCCCTTCTGTTAGCTTAAATAGTACTTCTTTTAAAATCTGACTATTAGCATCGATTGTCATAGTAGCACCAAAATGAAACTGTGGAGGAATGTTGTAATAAGTATGTGCTATTTTGGAATACCAGATACTCGAGTGCCAGGTCGAAGATGTGGCAGCCCTCGATATGACTGTTCAAGCGATGGCAGAAGGGTGCCTCTTGCCTATCAGTGTGACGGCCAGCCTGATTGTCCCAATGGGGAAGACGAAATAAATTGCAGTAAGTTACTTGAGCTCTAGAATTTTCTCCATCCGTATGTATATGGGGTTGTACACCTTGCAAACTATGGCAAATTCCTGACCACTTAATCCGATCTTGACGTTTACGTTTAGCCCTTTTTGTAACTATTCAAAGCTTTCATTTGATGGCCAAGAGCACAGTCAAATCCCCAATCTGGTGGGTTTCCTTGTGCATAAATCTAGTAAGTGAGCACGTGTTTCAAAGGATCGCATTCTTCTGCAATGAATGAGGAGAGTTGGATTATTTGAATGGGTCTGATTTTGACTGTGTCGCGTATTTTCCCTAGTCGATTAAAACGAATGCAGTTGTGGTAGACGAGCCAAATGTGTGAACGCACAAATGCCGCCAATGAGCAGAATAAATCGCATGACCACCTTTGCTTTTCCGGAGTCAAGAAATGCCATTCAAGCACTGGTTCGAAAAGCATTGGAAATGTAATTTTTCTCAGTCTATAAAGCTGTGCTTTAGATCCGGTGAAACATTTGGATCATATTTTTGTAATTTTCCAACTACAGCTCGAGCATACTTGTGTCTTGAAAACGGCTCCGATTCCGATCCCTTTAGGATTTGGGCCAAAGAAGGAATTACTTTGAGGCATCAGCTCCTCACTGTTTTGAAGGATTTTCTACTAACTTTAAAACTTGGTATAGATTAGCTACTTATCAAGTTCTGCATCCCAAATGTAAGCGCTCACGATCTTGTCCCCGTAGGCGGGGAGATCCCTCCCTGCACTTTGCTAAGCCCGTGTAGTCAGTAAAATCGTCGACTTATTTTCCATTTCTGTTCAAACAATGTATTTGCCACTAGCTATCAATGTTTAAAAGCGAATTTACTGCACTATTAACTCAAAAATTTATGAAGTTCAAATGTCGCATTCCGGAACATGTATACGCTGTTAAAGTGGTGGAGCACTCTCTGTCTCAACTCTCATTCGCGTCTTTACGGATATACTTGAGCATAGAAAGTATCGTCATGCTGGGTGCATCCCAATCTGAGTCAGCGAAAGTGCTAGCACCTAATATTTCTGATATGTTCGAACTGCAGTGCGTCCGACCATCTACTCGGAAGGTTGGGTGTCGCGTTACGAGGTGCGTCGTGGGCAGAATTTGGAGATTGAATGCGAAGTTCTGGGTGTGCCTCCGCCGGCCATTATCTGGCGTTTTAATTGGGGCTGTCTACCCGAGAGTGTTCGTACTCGCGTAAAACCCGTCTCCAGCAGATTAGGCTGCACTGGCAGTCGCAGTCGACTGACTATTCGCAACGTACAGGAGGGTGATGATGGCATTTACAACTGCGAAGGTCTCACTGGTTTTGATCGTGCCCTCTCACAGGACATATTCGTCATTCTCATCGACTGAGTTTATACACCGCCTCTCCTCAGTTCCTTCTCTCATTTCACATATAGGCGTCTTCTCTACTCACCTTTTAAGCCAATTTTCTCACAACAAAAAAGTAATTCTCTAGTTTAGAACACTTAGCACATCCTTTTTTGCCTTCACACAAATCTGTTACATCTGAATTTGTTATCTTAAATGGCTAAATTTCCATAGTGCTGTTGTATTATATGTGCTTCTATTTCAGCATTATTACACGTGCTTTCAGAATTTGCTTTCCCTTTTCACCTATGGACCTCCATCTGGCGATAGGTCTTCAAAATTAACCAAAGGTTTGGTGCGACGCGTGTTGCTAGAGGTCCTCCCAATTAAGGGGAAATTACTAGTGTTACTACCATTCACGGCACTATTAACTCCACGATGTAGTGGACAATTGTTCTCAAAGTGGGTTCTCATTTGATTGGTGATGCGAGAGAAAATGAACTATAACTTTGTTCTTCAATCGGTGTTGGACTAATAAAAATAACACCATTGCATGCAACTAACCCTAATTTACCAGCGCAAGATGTCGCATTGTCTAATGTTTCAAATATTTGTGAGAAGTCTGAATAGCGTTACAGTATACAGTCGGGAGGGTTGGCAGATGCTCCGGATAAGAAGTCGTTTTTGCATTGAGAGATAAATTTTGAGCGAATATAGGCTCTCTGGACATCTATGCATTCCATATTTTCTTTGAAATCCACCCTGGTGAGGTGTAGATGAGAAGGAAGACTATCAGCAGCAGCAGGAAGGCAATCAAGATCTTGATGAGGATCCACTTCAATTTGTATTTGATTAAGTAGCGAATAGTGTTGAGTGGGCCGAAGAAACTCATAAAAGAGCTGTCTGGGCGGCTATGAAAGAGTAATGAAAAATGTACATCGGAAATCTGGCGCCAACAATAAGAGTGCATTTCCACTTTTGTGAATAAAATGAAAGCGAACTTACATTCGAAAATAGAGATGGTAATGACGAAATAAAACTACCTGACGCGTGGTTTCCCTTACCCCAAAGGTACACTCAATATGGCATTTTTTTTCAAAATAACTGAAAGTAAACGTACTTGGGTTGTGGGAGCGCATCGGGTTCGTCGTGACCCTTGCCAACAGGGGAGGCTTCTGCGTCCTGCCCAGAGACCAGATGCAGCTCAGCCTCAACTTTCCCCTAAGTTAGAAATCTCGTACAGTGGTAACAGTCAAGAAATTAAGCATCACAATTGATGTATAAAATTGATCTATAAAACAATGAATGCAACATAATTTTCACGCATTGTACACATAGGGGAGGCATTCATACGCAGTAACGAGTGAGCAAACAGACCTGAACAATGTCCACCCCTTCTTCTTCATCGTGAATGACAAGTGGCCACCAGCCGCGAATTTGCTTATTTTCGAATAGTGACAGCGTGGGACAAGTCTTCTCCAACTGATGCAAACCACAGGTTGCTGGTGTCTTTGCTGGTCTTGGCATTCGGGAAAGTTTAAGGGCAATCGATCCTATTTTTGCAGATTGACAAAGTGAACAAATCAAAAAGGACTTCAGGGACAAAAACACGATTCGTACTAGTTGTTATTCTTGCTTTAAACTAAAATAGCATTGTTAGTATGAAGCCTTCTTGACGAACTATTTGTATACGTGGTCTCGGATACCTCAAGTTAAACGTAAAACAAACCGTGTCTGTTCAGGCCTATCTGTAAAGATTATTTATCGCTCAAATGTGACAAAACTGAGCTGCACAAACAGGTACCACGGATCAGATAAAACGACTGCAAGTTCTCAGAAGCAGAACTGTAACTTGTGAAGAATTCATGTTCGTAGACATGAGAACGAGGTTATGATTCGCACTTACCCAGGAATTTATCACTTCGAACAAGTTCATTATCCCACACTTGTAAAGTGAGATCACAGGGCATTTTAACTTCGACAGGATCAATGTCGAAGGCCTTCTTCTGTGCAAAAACTACTCTGTCTTCGTAACGCATATAATTGAAGGGGAAAACAAAACGCCAGTTAAAGTTGCCTTCACCCGAGAGGGACCTTAAGGAAGAAGGAAGGGTTTTCAATAGATCTTATTTTTCCTTTAGTTGGGACAGTGTAACACTGAGTTCCCTCTTTCTCCTGACCAAAGATGCTGCTCATTACATCGTTGCATTACAGCTACAACCGAATTCTCATTCGGTTGTTCAAAATACGTCAAGTAAATAAGCTTTTAAGCCAAATTACCTGTAGTGCACATCGGTCTTCTGATCGTCTTCTCCAACACCTAGCACCCATCCACGCACGTAAATGTCCGCACTCTTCTCATTTGAAAACAGGGAGGTATCATTGAGGACCACCTAAACCAATAAAACCACTTATAATGAATGATGGCAAGGTTCAAAATTCCCATCAGTTCACTCGTAATCTCGGTCAGTCATTGTATGACAAACACCAAACATAAGTATGTAATCCAAGTGTGATGATATTATAAAATAAAAAACCGATCATGTTCACATCAAATTGGAATAACGTAGCAAGCTTTGTAAAAAGTAGAGGTATGATTTAAGAGTACTACCAAAATATGGGATTAGTGTTTATGTTTTAGCTACCTACTTTAAGTACTGAGGACCTTCAGGCAATCGACAAAACAAACGAACTTTTTGATGTTACTTCCATGAGATTAACGCTAAATGGGGCGAAAGTATGAAAAGAAAGTAGTGCATAGCCTATGTATGAATAACCTTAATGCCGTAGGCAAGTATAGCAGCTACCGATCACCGACCTCAGCAGTATTGTAAATGATGCATCTGAGTTCCCATGGCTCAGGAGTTCGAGGTGTCACATCAATTGGTGGTGGTGGTTTGTCTTCATCACGATCAAAAATGTCAACCCACATCATCAGGCGACCCTGCTCCAGGCTGCCCTTTTCTGGGTGCAATAAACGCCGAACTTCTACGTGTTCTGGTACCAACACTGTACCACCAGGCACTTCTTCCCAGTGATTTAGTGCAGCCAGAGCCAGTGGTTCATTTGATTTCTTTGTTGACTCTAGTTTCACAAATCCCAAATAAGTGCTCATACTTTATCTTCCTCTGACATCCTCCTTAAACATGAATCCATTTCAAAGATAATAGAGATGATGAAACAGTTTTCACAACAAACTCACCTGTCTCATCCACAATGGTGGTGTCTGCATAGAATACCTTTCCTCCAACTTTAACGGTGTTATCAATTTGTGTGTAGACAGGCGGAGGAAGACCACTCTTTCGACACAAATCTGAGAGGATTTCGGTAGGGAGTTTATTATCTCTCCATTGTGCGTAGCTGTGACTGGAGGTGTAAAGATTTAAAGCCTTCAAATGCGCTGAAAACTTGATTTTTACACATCATGAACGAAATCGCATCTATGCCTAATTGCAGTTTTCGAGCTCAAAGTCGAAAGCCATTGTGACTTACCTGTAATAAGTCTGCGCTAGACCGCACGTGGCCCTATGGGGACTGTAGAACCGGCTCTCAAGGTCGATTACGGTTTGACCAATCATGTCATCAGAGCCAAGAATATCGTGGTCCATCACCTTTAATTGTATAACGAGAAATTGGTGTTCGTGTATTTGATTTTAATCTCTCCATTACCCATCTGATAGGTGGGAACAAAGCTAACTTGCATTTTTCACGAAGTCAAATGAGATATAGTAAAACTGCGGATAAAATGAAGTAGTTATTGAATAGGTCTTTAGGTTTATCAGTGACAGGAATTGACATACCGCTATGTGGAGGATGGTAGTCGTCGGAAATTGTACCTCGAATTGGAACATTTTACCGAAGGTTGGTCGTAGAGTCTTGGGAATGTAGTTGGATTTTTCATTAAATACTTGTTTCCCCATGCTTACAATGAGGTAAGGATCTGCAAGGCCTGTGGGATCTGCAGGGTGTAGATTGAACGCCTGATGCAAAAGCAGAATAACGTTTTAAGCATGGAACTAGTAATACCACCATTTGGTCCGAAACATGAACCTACACGAATGATATAGCATCTAACGAGAATTCGCCAGTCGGTTTTATGTGGGAGTGTTGAAAAAGAATGCAACTCTTCTACCGATTCTGGAGGATCTGCGTCTTCAGGAATGGGGTACAGCTTAAGGTTACCCTGTGAATGGGAGGAAACACATTGAAAGCGCTGTTAAGTTAGTCATTAATAAGTTACTTGCGCGACAAACATGGTGTGCTAGGTCTACAAGTAATTGAAAAGAAACATTTGAACAACATGATTTCTGATAGTTAAACCGATGGTGTCTAATTCCACTAGCGAAAAGATATGCGATCACAATAAAGCCATACATAACGCCCAACGGATTGCGCAGTTTTGTCTCGAAATAGAATCCCATGTAGCACAAGGGCTTAGGAGCAGTGAATGAGACGGGTGTGAACAAACCTTGAAGTAGCCAACAGAACGCTCTTCAGTTGTCATATCGTCATCATCCTGTTTTCCCCGAAAGAGCTGGAAATTTCGGATGGGTGAACAAAAGCCATGGAACTCTGGAACTTCCTCCAATTCGGATGAATATATCTGCAACGAAGTAACAGGTGAAATGCTGTAATACTTGTTTTTGACTTGACTGCAAAATTGCGATTGCATATTTAAACCGAATTTAAAAAGCATTTGAAGAATTGCATCCGAAACAGATGCCATAAACGATAGCCCAGAGGGAGAGAGCAGCCGGTGGAAGAATAGGTAAAATGTGACAAGAAGAAATGCGGCATAAATCTGCTAGCAAAGGCAAAGCATAAAGCGAAAATGTTGTGGAAGAGCGACAACTGCATAAATGATTGGTACTGTAATACCAAGCTGTTTGTACGTATTAAGAGAAAGTGGGTGAATGGCCTTTCTTACTTTGATGCGTTCAATTAGGCTCGCATCAATTCCAGCACTGGTGATAATAACGTCATCCTGCAATTCTTTCAGGAATGCTTTCTTTGCGTCTCCACGCTTTAAAGAGAAGAATTGAAACGGTCAAAACTAGGTTTAAAAATTCCTCAACAGAATAATCCTAAGCATCTGGAACAATGTCAGTTTAAGTTAATATTCATTTTTCTTTTCCTCTTAATCTTACGGTGCTACCATATGCCGTGCAATGAGGTGTCATCAATAAAACTGACACTGTCAATGAACAAATAACTATTTTGAACATTGGGAATCGGAAGGCAAACGAAGACTTACAATCTTCAGAAGAAGTTTGGGTTCGACTTTGCCTTTTTTATTTTTTCTTGCTTTCTTCTTTCGCTCCTTTTCTTTCTGCTTCTCGTATTTTTCAAGAGCTGTAAGCTCCTTTTTGGGCTTTAGTCGGAAGAATTTGCGGATTCGGTCTCGACGAGATTTTCGACCCCCCTGAACCACGACGTCATCTGGAATTTCAGCTATCACTTCTTCCTCTGTAAATGTGAGGCAAATGGATTTAAACTCACTTCGTAACAGTATGCAAATACTGGGATCATGCACAGCTTTATCCACTCATACCAGTGTCAACATCTTCCGGAAGGAGTTCCACTTTCTCCAAGTTGTCATCGAAACGCGAGTCTGCTTCTTCCATATCGTCATCAGCTGCAGACTATAAAGAGATTATTGCTGATAAGAAAAAGTACTATCAGTTTCATGTTTACACGGTGTAAACAATGAACGCAGAAATCACAGCAAGTTCGTTCATTCGTGAATGGTAAAAAATAACGTCCGCGAAGCTGTGTCGAATGAGGCTGTGTGTGGTACCGTTACCATGAATGCAGTCCAACGCCTTGACGTCCGTGTATGAGCAGTGAGAGAAAACTTACGAGAACTTCGTTGGTCGACGCAATTGGGGTGGAATCCTTCCACTCCTGGCTCTTCGACATGCGACGACTGCGACGGTGGTCTTTACTACAAACCTGCACAAAGTGGAGGCATGCACGAGAGGGCTTAATTAGGTCTACCCTCTCACTTATGCCTTGTAGATGGTGTTTATGATCAAATAAACTTCAACACTTGGATAGTGATTAATTGGTTCGATTCATGCATCTGCAAATTTCTGTAGCAGAGAAGAGTCCTCGGTCGCTGTGTCAACAATAGTAGATTAAGTTTGATGCAAAAATGAATATGCTGCGGTCATGCTCAAAATCACGATTCATTAGTTTCAGAACTTGGTGTTGCATTAGTACTAGGAACTCACATCTGTGCTTTCAGGACACAAAGTGGTGCATTGGCAGTCGATTCAGTGTACCTTACTAGCACTAAGGATGCTTGACTTGTAGTTCTACCAACTTTGAATTTGACATATTTCAACTAACTACAATTTTCTGAGTGAACTTACTCCCTTTTCTTAACAACTTTCAGATACCAAGGCGCTATGGGAGTTTAATATCAAGCATTGGTAAGTTCGGTTCTTATTTTGTTGTCTTTGGGCCACCATGCTAACCCCTTTTCTTGCTTTGACACATTCGAGTACTCAGTGATTACAAAGGAACAATGGATCCGTTAACACAGCACACAAGTAAAAATTTAGCAAAACGGTACAACATACCTCTGGAAATTCCTGTTGGTAAAGCAAACACTTAAATAGGATCCTCAGTGCAGATTTGCCTTTCGCCAACATAGGAACTCTAACCCTAGTTCATAGGTAAGTACACCTGCAAACCCTTCGGAAGCGGTTTAAATGATAGGATTTTCTACGTCTAGGTAGATGGACTTGATTCGCCTAGTCATACGATGTTTGGGTGCAAAAGTGACTTAAGCAAGTGACTGTTTTAGAACAGCTTCAGTTGGATACAAGAGAAAGCCAAATGCAGTACAATTCTTAGCACTTCATCGAAATTCTCGCAAGCTTAATGAAATTCCTTTTGGAGTCACTAATGTAACCGAGGCCGATTTCCACAATAAAAGGGATAACTCCAGTTTTGAGTGCACCACCTCCTTTTGGAACTCCAACAAAATCTATCCACACCTTGGTTTGAAATAGGATCGATTACTTCTAACCTCCTTCAAAATCAGACAACGTCACGACAAGTTCTTTGTTGTCATTTACTGTTCCACAAAATATAGCCTGATAAAAAGGCTTGAAGCTACATGTAAGTATTGCTGACGCAGCTGGCCACTTTGGCATGTCCAATTTCAGCACTCCCAAAGTAAAGAATGCAAACTCGATTACGACCTGGTAGTGGTTAATGCATGGTTAGGAGAGCCCAATTTAAGCCGAAAATGACACTTACATCATCGCCGATATCGATGTCGTTTAAGGAGGCGAACAGTCTCGACCACCAGTCAAGGGTGTTGAGCTGTTGTTTGGACAGTTTCGTCATGGGGTTAACAGGGTACGTCTAAAGTTTTCGCAGCAACAAATATGACAGTAAAACGGAGATACACAAGGAAGTACAAACCTAGTTTTTCCTAGAAATTTTTGCGATAGCAAATAGGGTAAGTGGAGAAAAACTGTGCATAATTAGCCAGTGCATGTTCTATGTTACAGTAGATGTTAGTTAAGGCTTCAATCAAGTTTTATTTTTACGCCTTTCCATTCATATCATTGTTCATCTTATTACATAGCTGCTTTTATGCCATTACCTTCAGTCCGGCTTGAGGTCCAGCTTTGCCTAACGGTCCATCATAGCCACCGAGAGTGCTGGATGCCTTTTTTGGAACATTCTTCAATATAGGGTCGCGTTCAGTGTACATGGCAGGATGTGTCTCAGTAGTATGGGTCATGATTGTAGAAGATTTGCTCTCGGCTGCGCTCTCCTTTCGACTGTACTCATCCTCATCTTCGTCGTCTCCATCGTCGGCATTGCCACTGCCAAAGCTCCCGGGTGCAGGTTGCTGTGGGGCGCCGTAACGGCCTGCTTGCAGCGTCCCATCCTTTGCCGACAGCGTCTCTTCCGCGTCTGGATCTTCTAAGCCTGCTAACGCCTTCGTGAGGATCTGCGCCTTCCCATCAAGGTGCGTCTCCGATTCTACTGGCGTGCTGCTCTCCTCATATTCATCGTATACGACTGAGTTTAAGGTGAGAAGAGTCAAAGTGAACTTACAAATAAAATTCCATTTTAAAGGACGTAAATTGCAAGGCATCTCGACCATTCGAAAGATAATGGTACATTTTCAGTCGGGGTCAAATTGAATTTGAAGTAGTGATTAAAGAACCTGTAAACATGGTAATATCTGCCTAACGGGGACTTCTATAACTAAGGCCTTTATAGAAGGCCCAAAGTAAAGGTTTAAGGGAAGATTTCCTGCAAGTCACGGGACTTTAAAGCTACTAAACTTGCCTGAAAATAGGTATTAGTTAAGGTCAAGCATTAGTTCATGTATTTAAACGGGATGCACCTTCTATTAACGAAACGAATGTAAATTGTGGTAGAGTGCAATTAATTGAGTCGGGGTCTTCTTTGGGATTTACTCTGACTGATTTGGAATTGCTAAAGTGGGAGCCACGGTTTAATTATAGGTTTCATCGCAATAAAAACGTAGGATACATAAAAAAATAATTTTAAAATGAATCATGGTGCTTAACAAAATCTAGTCAGAATTAGTAGGTCAGTAAATGATCATACCTAAATCTTTTTTCTCGAAGAAGTCTGTAGGGTTTGGGAGAGTGCACAACCCAACTGTTATGTAAACGCCAAACATTCTGTGGTCATGACACATAACTGTAATCGGAGGCCAGAGCTTTTCGTCCAACGGGAGGTACTAAACAGTTCAACCGATGCATCATTAGTTTTCGGCCGAATGCACAGGAATGCAAAATGGAATGAGTTAATGAAACTAAGTGGTTTGTAATGGCGCACCAAATCAACGTATTTGAGACGTTTTTCGAAAAGTGGATTGATCTTAGCACTACGAAGAAGATCGGAGACTACTTTTGTCCCTCCAACCTCGATTGTGATGACTGGACGATTGACAGGTAGGAGGAATTGTCTTCGTAACTCACGCACACCCCAAAAGACCTGCACAGAAAGATTAGCATTGAAGCAAACAAGTTCCATCAAGTGGTGAAACCATCGTCAATATGAAAGGATGATTAAGGCAGCAATAAAGCTGTCTGAAGTCATTTTGAACGTAGGCAAATTCTTGCGTCAAAATCTCGTTATTCATTTTATTATTCTTAATGTTAAATGACACAAGCGCACCACTTCAAGTCTGTATCGGCCGAGCGGAGGACGGACGTTTTCCGGCAATCGAAGGGCATCATCTGCTCGCCATCGGACCAAATCGGCTGTCGCCAAGCCAACTTTTGCCTTCTTCTTTTTCTTTCGTGCCGTGGGGACTGTAGTGGTAAGGGTTCCTGAAGTGGCAGTGGACAAGAGACTGTACGAATCATCTGTCTCCTCTATAGGTGCATCTAGCTCTGCCATTGCATTTTCGTCCAAAAGACGAGCTGCTTGTTGCATTTCCTCGTCCCATTGTTCTCCATACACTTCATAATCATCTGAGTCGTCAGAAAAAGGGATTCCACAAGAGGGGCCCAACAACACACGCTCGTTGAAACGACGAGTGAAATCAGCAAGATCCTCAACAGTGGGGATCGCATCAATATCGTCCAAAGCATCAATCTTAAAAGGGAATCAAAGTCAAGTACTTAGACAATTCCTTAAAATATATAATGGTAACAATTTTAGGCTTCAAATCAAGTAACTGTAACTTGAGGGCAGTAATTAGACTTTCTGTTGCCAATTCCGCTTGTTTTACTCCCCAAACAAAATACTGTTGATTTACAATATGTTCCTAGTGAACGTTGGCGACCCACAAACCGGAAGAGTTCAAAGAAATCCGTTTCGGGACCGGCCCACCATATCATCGTCTCAAATGGGTGGTTATGGGCCAACGTGACAGTTTTATGAATCCCTGCACAATTATTAAGAAATCAGCTAAGAAGCTTCTGTACCTCAATAAGATCGAAACTGGCGAGCAGCTTTCCTGCCGTTGTTTGACCACGGTAGATCTGCCACCACTGAAGTGGAGGGGGTTGATAGTCGGCACCTTTGATGACAATGTTGGGCTCACAGAAACAGCGACCCAAAAAACTTGATGCTTTCTGTGTAAATAGAGCAGAATGGGAGGAGCTTAAATAAAGTAATTTTATGACAATAGCGAGAAAGCGTATTAAGCTATTGCAGAGCAGCATTGTGATTTTCGGATAAGTTACAGAAATGAAGCATTACTTAAATGAAAATCGGCTGTTATTGTCGGCAGTGAGTTCGAAAAGTTTTAGTTTGGAAATTACTTGGCCTGATCTAAGTCTTTTCCTCGAGTTTATCTTCTTCAATAACCAGGTTTACAACGATAAGTAGCCCTCCCACAGGTATGGAGCTAATGAGTTTTAAAAATAAGTGATAAGCTTACACCAGAATCCGCTTGTTGATCTCCTAAGCTCGCCTTATCTGTACCTCTGTGTGGGCTCCGAAGATTTCTAGTTGCGTTCACAGCCTCTCTAGCCTCCTTCAAGCTAAGTATAAACCACTCATTTGCACTAGTGCAACTTATTACGTTTTGAGAGTCAAATATTGCTTATCAAAAGGATTTACTGCAAGGCCTGTTTAAATCTTGGGGTCGAATGAACTGGCAATAGCTCTTCAGCTAAAAGTGACCTCACAGCACACTGTAGCGCAAAATAATCGCGAATGTCTTTGTCAAATCCTTCACAAAAAACTACTCATAAATGTCCATCCTCCCGGTCTTCGTTTGACCAATATGCTGGGAAAGCATTTGATTGTGAAGTGACAGTCAGGGTATTTTGGCCCACACAGGTTAGTTAAAATTGACTCTTAAATTTGTACGAGCGGAATGACTAAGAGATGTGAGTTGAATAGCCATAAGTTAGTGTCGATGCTCTGCATGTAAGCCACTGTCAGCAAAGAAGCCTCTACCAATGCTGCGCTCTCAGGTGTTTGATGCTAAGGTTTAGTGCTGATGCGTTAAGTATAGCTACGACTCGAACCGTTGAATCCGATTTCTTTGATTTCTGCAAAATGGTAAGAACGAAACATAATTAGTGAAATCAAAAACACTTCCATCTTTGCGCACTTCCATAAGAATGCGGTACACCCGATTAGTTGGTGCAAAATAACGGTGGGCGAAAAAATAGATTGCGTTTAGATATGCAAGTAAGACGAATAATGAGCACTCAAGGGATGCAAGGGTGCGGGGAAGGTAGGAGTGGCCATTTACACTCGTTTGACGTATCCAAACTTTGGATGTGACAAAACTCTGGGTAGTACAAGATGTTCTTTTTGTTTTATACCACTCAGTGTTTGTTAGTTAGCCTTCGTCTAATAACCGAAAGTGTAGTACAATTTGTCTTCGATGCGCATGTGCTACCAGAATAGGGTTCAACTATGGGATGATAAAACGTGGAAATGCGGAGGTCGGGTGTCTTCCCAACGTAAACATATCCTTCATCTCTAGTCCTCACAGAGTAGGCAATGGGTGAGGACTAGAACTTTAATTGGCGTCCAGTCCCTTAAACTCCCAATTGCCTATGCTGTGACATGCGATGCAAAAGTTCACAGGTCTGGAATATATCAAAGATTTAAGTAGGCTTATGCATTGCACCCAAAAACTGCAGCATTTGCTTGAATTTGTGCGCACTGATAAGTGAAGCAACCCACAAACTTAAACATTTAAAGCTGAAAATGATTAAAGTGAAAGGCGCCATGAAGTAATGGTTGCAAAATGTGCCCATCTTTTACAGCAGTGTAAAGCAGAATCTGCCGCATTACCATTACCTGAAATAAGAGGTAAGGGACATGCTTTGAGAGTAAATAAGAAATAAATGCAAAACACAATGTGCATTTGATCAAGCTATGTTACTTTGGGACGGAAGACTTGCCTGGACATCGAAATCCTACAGCTACTACGAGCATTTACAGACAATAACTAGCGATAGTTTCAACTTCTTCCCCGTAATGCAATGCGATTCGATGTTCAAATTTGTCGTGTAACATGGTGCACTATATTCTGCGATTGCTTTTGGAGTTCATTTTGCACCATGGAGGTTGGTGTACTGGATTGTTTATCATACTTGAAACCAATGGTTAGTGATGTGTCATGTTTCTGATAGCACTGCTTTACAACCTTATTGCTTGAATGCATGTGAGTGAATGCTTTACTAGGTTGATCTATGCGTAACCTCTCAAGGAACAAGAGAACCTCATATTTACGGCGAAGAAAATAATGACCTAGTTTTGCTTAGTATAGCTACCCTCTTTCACTCAACACGTACAGGAGCGTTGACGTCGAAGAATTCCACAATAATTTGAGGCGGATTGGCTAGTACACCTTCGGGTTTGTGATAAAAGGTGATGTTGGTTTTGATGAGGGTGAGATCCCACAGGGGACTCATGGTGTCGTAGACGGGAAAGGTCTCCAGCATCTCATCGTTTATTAGGACCCGAGCCATAGGATCGGAGAAACCGGTCTTGTTTGATGCCAGTAGGTTTTTCGCCAGGTAGAGATAGCATCGCAGCTCAAATTTACTCGAATCTGGAAGATCAAAAGCGTTGATTTTTAAAATATGAACCATGCATTCGGGATGCTTGGCAGCACATAAATGTGCCCTTTCGCTACATTAATAAACGTGAGTAATAAAACATATTTTATTCATTTGACTAGGCAACTGAGAGGACTTTTACTTCAGATGATGGCACTATACTTAAAGTATTGTTAACTATCTTCTCAAAAATGTTGGTGAAAAAAACTCGCTAAAAATAAGGTCCTCGAAAAATCGGGATGCAATGCTAAAAGAGGCCATCAGACATTACCAATGTAAATGAGCGATTTGGGAGGATCTATCCCAGCCACACACTCAGGGTCATATCCTTCTGGTAGTCCCCTCTTGTAAGCCAAGTAGTCCTTTACAAGACCCAACCACATATACATTCGTAGTTGACATTGAATGCGCCAGCCCTTTTCTCCCACTCCTTCACGTCCAGGCTTCTACAGTGCGCAAGTACAGAAAGCAGTGGGCACATTGAGTACCCTGTATAAACACCTCAAAGATAATTTTCTGCTCCCACTAACCCGCACAAAGTGGGTTGTCACTTGCGACGTCAGCTTGCCCCTTTCCTCATCCGATGCGGAGTAGTAGATATCACGAGACGGAATCCGAACAAATCCAATGCGCTTATTGTCCATAATCATTGAGACAAAGATATCTGGTAAGCCGTGCTGTGGCTAAAAATAGAAAACCTTTTTTACTTTAAGTTCTTAATTAGTAAGCAACCCTCATTCGCTAAATTACAAAATTCAGGCATAGTCAGTGGTGTAAAATGTTAGTTCCAATTAAGACCCGGATCTAAAAAGCGATATTGTTCCTTAGGCTTCTCGGTGGTCAGCGAGGCGCCGCATCTCTCCATTTGAATAGTTTAAAATGAGTTAAATGTAACGAGACTTCAAGGACGTCCTTTGCTTTTATTCACGTCATAGATAGATATGACCCCAAATGACAAACCTATTAATGTGCTCTGCTCTACCAAATAGTCTGAAAGTGAAGACTGATGGGCGTTTGGAACGTACACAATCCATGAGATCATTCAGACGTTTGATCACTGCATTGGCCTCCCGAATAGCCTCGAAGAGGTTGGCGCCAGTGAGTTTGCGTCCGAGGCGTTTGAGAAGGATCTCGATACGTAGGAGGTCGGAGCGCACCCGGCGCTGGTAACTTAGGTCAAGCATCGTTTTAGGCGCCGTACCTCGGCAAGAGCGCACATCGTTAGCAGCTTTGCGGAAGATACGACTCTTATAGAGAAAGATTTGTCGCATCCGGTGGCGTGCAGATCCAGGTTTTCGGCGTTGGAGAAGATAGCGGATCTGGTCCATTGCATACATCTGCAAAACAATTTAGCAACCAGTGGAAAATGTCATTATCTCTGACTTTAAGGAGTATGGCAATAACTTTTATAACTTAAACTTGCTCCTGTGCGATGTAAAGTTGTAGGGATTAATTAATGCAATATTCAAATCTTTTGTAGGCAATGCATTAAGTAATGAAACCCCATAGATACCTTAACTGTATGCAACAGCCCCGCTTTTGCAAATGACCAAAAATAAAACTTGTGAAGAGCATCCGCATTTTTAAAGTCAAGATAATGACCAACTATCAGAGTAATTAAGATGGCAGCAAGGCATCTCTGTTAGGATTATGAAAACGTTATGCAGTGTTTTAGTTTTAAGACATGCATCGCCATTCCAGCAACACAAAATACGCAAACAATTCTAATGAATGTAAGCAAAGATTTGTAATCGGCATCAGAAAAACCATAGTTCATATGGCTTAACTACAAACCAATGCACCCTCCAACGCCTTGTGGGAAGTGGTAAAAGATGCAAAGGAAACGCGTTGAAGGAGGGGACTCACAAATTCCGTTTTGATTTTTTCAATGATGTTAGGGATGCACATTCTCAAACGGTGGTCTTCGAATTCGCTCAACAGGTAGAGGCATGGTTGAACACCACCAAAATCCACATGATAGTAGAGCCCGTCGTCTGACTTCAGGTCCATTGCATCGGTTAGGCTGTGATCCCACTGCACTTTTGCTCTCGTCTCTGATTTCGCTTTAAGAAGGTTCAATTTACATTCAAAAAATGAAGGAAAACAAAACACAAGTACTCCTCAGTGAGGGTTTTATTTTGACTAGTAGTGCGTCTTTTGGAGTTAAAAGTTTACAACGCCTAAAACGTGCACAAGATCTTGCAGACAAAAAATTTCGCATGACAATTTTTAATTAATGCGTGGAAAACTTACATGAGGTTTCATCTTTCATTAATATTCCACCTCTTTTACCATCAATTTTGTTTCCATAGTTGCCTGTAAAGAATAAACGTTGCCGTTACTGAAAGGACAAAAGTAACATTTGAACCACAAGCAAGTGCACCATTTTCGATTTGCAGAATATGAGGCAAGACTAGTTTAGCTGCAGAATAGAGTTGGAACAGTCGTAGCACATATTTACGACTTGCCAATGCTGACTTCGAATTGAATCGGCATTTTTTCACTGCCGATCTCCGGATCCACAACTGATACCCCGTAGAATGCGACAAACAGGAGGTACGGACTTTTTCTACCAGCAACAAGCTAAAATGAAAATACACGTTCCAAATGTTATAAAAAGTAAAATAAAAAATCACTTAAAACCGTTCCCATTCATTGTAGTGCTCAGAAGGCATCAATTTAGAATTGAAGTTCGAATGACATTTGCTCGTTATTGTCTGTGTACATCCCAAAACACAAACTTCTCTCGTCACAAAAAGGTGGGGATTTTGTCAACAAAATCTTCTGAGCTAGTGACGCAGTAATGCTTTATGGACTGCATTAAATTCCATACATAGCAGCCATCAGCAAAGAATGACGATGAAATAATCGCATCGTATGGCAGTATATTGGTCGTTTTGTACACTCATGGAAGCAAAAATTCATGACAAAAACCATAATTAAAGTTTTATTCCGCTGCAAAAAGTACGCCTAATGAGTGGTTCCAAACAAAGAAGCTCGATGTTGTTTTAGCAATTCTTGCAAAATTTTTGCCACGACATGTCACAATGGCAGGCAAGGATTTCATCAGATTGATTTTAAGCTCAATTTAAATCTAAACCTTGAAAAATAAAGTCAAGATTCACCTAAGAGCAATGACATCTCAAAGTCAGGTGACACTGATAAAAAATGCTATTAACTGAAAAGCTATTAATGAAGATCCTAATTCTTGCGGCAAATGCACTTAAGGCGACACACATTATTCGTTGTATCTGACCAATGCGACTGTCTTCAAAGGCTAAAGTAATAAGCACAGTATCAGTTCGAGTTCAAGACAACTGCAGCTAGATGTTGGTTTTGGGGTGAGTTAGCACAAACTGCCTGCCTTACCTCGGAAACGGGTGGAGTTCCCCTGAGGATGGCCCCTGTTTTCATGGCATCTTTGCTCGGCTGCGCCTTGATAGCGATGAGCAGACGACCACGGTAGGCGACACCTTCGCCGAGACTCCTATTCAACTCATCGTCCGGGCGACGAGCTTGTTCGTAAGTATAAGTTCTCGGTGAGCCGTAGAGATTTACCCAAGAGGGACCAAATGTTGGCATCACATCTGTCGGTGCGGAACAAAAGCGAGGTGATCATCATTAGTAGAAAACAAAAGTGCAAGCAGTCGTTGTCGCTGATCCTACAACTGCTTGGACTCCGTGTGTGTGTGTTCTTTTGCTTTCAATGACATACAAACCAGCTGGGAGTACTGGCCCATTAGCCAAGATGAATTTAACTCACTTTCACTGCTTTTATCCAAAATCATTTTGAGGTCAATTAAATGCGTTGCAATCGTCTCGTCCTTAACGGCCTCCCAGTCCCTCACAGCGAGACGGATTGTATGGGTTAGGGGAGGGAAGAAATCGCAAAAGACAATTTCTTGATTCCATATCGGAGTATAGGTGTACTTTTTCACCTTAGTTTTTGCCTAAACAATAGCAAAGCGATTAGTTATTTGGTTAAATCCACTTTGCGGTAAGGTGAGAATTTAAATTCAAACATATTAAGTTTATAAATGCGTAATTGCAACTTTTATGGATTCACGAAATCAGGACTAACAGTGTGGCCCCCAAAAGAGACCTCCACGTAGGGATCGCACATTGGAGCAGAATCACCCACAAAGGCCTGCTTAATGGAAGTAATGATGTCTGTATTCATCGGCGGCAGTCCTTCGGCTCGGTACACTTTCACTGAAAATTCTGTGACATTTCTCTTTGAGAGGTTTGTTATGCCCTTCGGAACAAGTTGATTTCTGGTATCAAGTATAAATGCAGGGAATAAAATAAAGCTCCCTTCCAAAAATGTTCGATATTGCCATAAAATGTGATAGCGAAGCAACCAAAAGCGTACCCTTCAAGACTTATTTCTTCATCATCTTTTTCATGCTTGATGTGCTGCAAGAAAAGGTGCAAAAATGGGAAAAAGTACAAAACAACCACAATGCTTCGCTGTGTGAGTTTTCACAATGTAAGTTTACAGGTGGTCTTTAAATAACCGAAGTAAATTAGTCTGTTAACTTGTAAGTGTATGTACGCAAAGGGTTAGAACAAATAAAATATGACAAAAACACAGCACTAACCTTTGGAATGTCGTCCTTCCCGAGAAAAGCCAGGTCAACCCGCACGTACCCCTGAGGTCCACTGAGGGGTTTCTTTGGATCAATCAGCACAGCCCACTTATTACTGAGCACATGCCCTACAAGTAAAATGGGTCAAAGCCACTTGTTTTGGCCGCTCTACAAGCAGACTTTAAAAGCAAGCAAAATAATTTACCGTTGCTCTCGTAGATCGATCTCACGTCAATGACAAACTCTCCAATCAGCTTTCCGGGAAGAAGGCGGGCGATCATTTTTGCATTCAAGCTATACGCCTGGATGGGAAAAGATAATGCATATCGCAATCCCATATTACACGGCTAGCAAAGCAATCACTCTGTCATTTTACTCGTCCTACAACCTGTAAAGTTAAAATATTGTTAATCCATTCAGCTGGTAATAGAAGTTGGACATAAGCTTAACGATGCATATTTGGAACGAGTTTAATCCTATAGTGTGTGTGTGTGTGTGTATGTTTTTGTTTGACCAATTCGCTTCTCAAATAGCCATTTTGCGCCACTTGTGAAACCTGATTCAATATTCGAAAAGGTTTAAATGTCAGTAATTGGCTTCTTGGGTGACGCCGAATTGAATCGTTGGGCAACCGTTAAAGCTTTGGGTGGATTCACCCCATCACCACAAAAGAAAGCCAGTTAATAGCAATTTGCTGAGTTCCACGTATTTCACGAAGCGAAGTAGCTTCTGATTTATACGGAGAAAATAAGAAAAGATCAAAGCTTCAACATATGGACAAGTGCATGTTGTCATGATAACTCATCTATGCTGATTTATCCAAATCAAAGTTACGAAGTCAAGTGGAAACTGCATTCTGCCCTTAGGTTGTGGATAAACTTAAGTTGGCTTCAAACAACCTACACGAATCCAGATAAGTTCATCCAACACCGCCACTCGAGGAAGGAAGTATTCAAATGAGAAGAATTTGTTATAGTACGGATTGTTCGTGTAAAATTTAACATCTGTCTTGCGAGTCTTTCCAGCCGCGCTGACTTCAACCATAGGATTCACGTTCACACCGGGCAAGCCTTTCGCCTCCACAATTGTCACGGAGACCTAGCAGAAACAACAACCTTGAGGGATTTCAGGTATACTTTTTTGGAATGCTTGATCTACAAGTTAGTTATGGTTCAACCCATTGTAAACATGATGCATTAGAGTCAAGCGGCATAAATTATCGTAGAACGTGGTGACTGCCATGATTGAAATTGTATAAGGTTACCTTGGTTGAAGTTGTTGCAACACGAAAACACAGGAAAAGAATGCGTGGAGAATTCTTTTATTTTGTACACTTAGCGCTTCCATGTCTAAGGCATATGTGTGCAGTCTCAAATTTGGTGTCAGGATAAACTTTTTTGGCAACATTTTGATAGGTCCGCTCTTCATTGGGGGAAAATGTCAAAACAGAACGGTAAATGAAGAAGTCGTAACTTCTGCACTACTTTTTGCATCTTTATGAGCCGCGCCAAGTTTTTTACAAACATTAATTTTGATTTTTAAAGTCCAGGTAATGATCTGCAAGCGACTTTCTGATCACTACGAAAATTCTGCTACGGGGAAGGCTACTACTACTACCACCACCACCACTACAATCGCATCTAAAAGTAAGCATGCATTCCGAATTGCAATAGGTGTCACTCAAACAGGTGACTAATCATGCCGGGTGGTTTCTCTGTGCCTTTTAAGATTGCCATCTATTGCGTAACATGCGAAGTTACTTACTGTGAATGTTTCAGACTTGAGAATGGTCGGATCTATGAGTGCTTTCAATTTTGGGTCCCTATAAGGAGGAAATAAAATTAAAACTATTTAACGTTGCAGTGCCATCTAATTTATCGGTGCTATCGGCATTTAATTGCAACAAGTGATCACTCAGTTCCATAGAGATGTTTGTCAAGAGCTTCGATCTCCAAAACTTTACAGTCTTGCCAAAATTCTAACGAATTAAGCAGTCTTAACAGTAAGGCATTATGCAAGGTCAAACATTTCTGGATGAGAGTAGCTTAAAATTGTTGCAAGGCAGCTTAAGGTCACCCACCTTCGAACGGGGCCAGAGAGAACTGAGGATCTCTCTGAAAGACCTTCAATGTCCATAGTAGCGCCATCGCCTAACCCATATAAATCCATGATATCTTTGTCATCTCTGAAAAAGGGAAGGAAGACATTACAGTTAATGAAGCTTATTTTTTCCCTTTCCAACTGACCATCCCACTGTATCTTTTCATGCACGTCCTCCAAATTCTAAAAAGGCTTACCCTCTCCTCTATGTTGAATAAATTTAAGGTGAACTGAGACTCATTGCATTTCAGTATCTGATGTACGTGACACTCTTGCAGACTGCATTTTTGAGAAATAGCTTTGGGAAATTACGTACTTGCAGTCCTCATAAAAACATTTTTCCAGCGATAATTCCTTCTTCGCAATTCAAAAGGGCTGTTAATAGTAGCATGCCACGTAAATTTCCTTTAGCTTTTTAATAAAATTTCTCGTAAGAACAGCTCAACTGTTGTCAATTGGTGCCAAATAAAGTTGCAAATACGTAAGTCCTAATTAGTTCGCTCAGTGGCAGGCCTTAAATGAATCTATTAGGAAAAGTTGGGGTTACAAAACAAGGGCGTTCACCTACCCCATGGCTTCTTCACCGAATTCTACGTCGCCTTCACCAAGATCATCGGCGCTTTTGACTTGATGAAGGTCAGCCAGAGGGTGACCAAACCTGTCGATATCAAGATCGACTTCACCCTGGTCTGGTGGTCGGTAGAAGAGGTCGAAGGAGAGGGTTACCTAGACCAGGCATTTGTAGGCTTGATTACGACCTCAGATTCATTACGAACAATGCACAATAGAGATCAAATATGACTGGTTAGACAGACGATTGGAACAAGGTATAATGCGATTGCGATAAAGCTGTTCTCTTCGTAAGACTAAAACACCAATTTTACATCTTCTAGAGAGCCACTATCTTTTCGCAAACGGTTTAACATCACATTTAAATAAATTTAAGAAGTAGTCTGCTTTAATGTCTAATTAATGCGGACTAACCCACAGGATAGGTGTTAAATGAAATACCTAAGGCAAAAAAACATTCCCAAGCCAGTGATGATTTTTAGTCACTTGAAGTATGAACAAAGCTGATTTCACTTGTCAAATCATTGTTTTTGATAAATAACCATCCTATGCTCGCTAACTACTATTATCGTGGCAGATGAGGCATTCAAACCGACTACACCTATTCATTTTTTAACAAAGATCAGTTAACACTTGAGGAGATCACTTACATTCGTGACCACTTTGTTTGCATCGACAAGCGGCTCCTCCAAGTTGAGCACTTGCCTCTGCGCGAGAGTTGACAAATTAACGGTGACGGAACCAATCGCTCTACATGGCACCCAAGCAATTAAGACACAGATTTTAATTTTCACAAAAAAACTACGCTCTAGGTTCTTACACAAACAAATGGCAAAACCTGTGCAATTTGGTCACCTTTTTCCGGTTTTTTGTCATGAATAATTTCATGAATTTTGTTTATATTTTATAATGCGGAATTATAATATGATCTAGTAAGACTTTGTAATAAAATTTTACGTGAAAGTTAGCAAAGATTAATCCAATAGCATCCGTACACTCCGAGTGCTGCCGCAAACAAGAAACTGGGAGCTTTTCCACCTTTGCCATTCAAGTTAAGAAATGAGATCGTCTTTAAGCTGATTCAGTACTAACTCAAATATTAGTTTAAGTTGAACACAAAAATGGAGGATCTCTGCCTTAAAGTAGGTAACGTACCTCTTTGGTCTGTATTTACTAACATCATAGGCTGTAATCACGATCTCGTCATTGTCTTCAAGCCTGCGAGCAACCTTCCAAACCAGTTCCGCTCCAAAGTAACAGGCCTGCTGCCCATCTGCCGGTCTGGTTG